CTGGCTTAACACTCTTTATCTTGCCTTCTTCAAAGAACTTAGCTCTTCCTTCCTATGTGTAATCCATTTCATGTAGTTTGGACAGTGAGTAGGGTAAGCCTCTCTTCACTCCCAATATGGGGGCGGGTATGAGACTAAAGCCAGGCAAGAGTTCATTCTTGGACTTCTGCTGGATTCATGAGCAGTTAAGCGTAACACTATGAGAGACCAGGATGTGCTACTCCCAAATATGCTTTTGGTGTAAGAACTGTAGTGCCAAAGGCAACTGAGAAGCTGCAGCAGATGCCAGAAAGCTCTCTGCTCCCTTCTATTTGCTTAAAAGCACAGGATAGATTTACAAAGACAAAAGGTAGTCTTCCCCTAAGCACCCATTCAAGCAGGGGAGACAAAATTTAACTACTGGAGACAAAGGTGGAGCCCTTTGGGGCCTGGAGATGGCATCAAGTAATTTTCATGAACAAACCTAAGTAGCCTTTATCTATCACTATTTGCCTTCCCATAAACTGCTGCTCCTATATACTCAGTTATTTTCTTTTGTATTGCCATTTATCCAAAAATTCAATGTTTTTTTGTTGAAGATGCTGTACAGGCTTGAATTCAGAGGCACTTCATTCCCCTTGTGTCTCCCATGAATATATGAAAATGCACGTAAAGAAAAGTTGTTTATTTTTCTCTTGTTTGTGTTTATGGAGGAAAACTCCATTTAGGATGCTATGGTCTGAGTATGCCCTAGATGTTCACATGCTGGAGGCTTGATCCCAAGTGTGGTGGTGTTGAGGTGCCAGAACCTTTAAGAAGTGGGATTCATTTGAAGGTGGTTGTGTCACTAGCAGTGCTATTCTCCCAAGGGATTTATGTTGGTCTTGAGGGAATTTGATAGGTTCCAGATAGAGAGCAAGCTGTTATAAAAAAAGTAAGCCTGGCTCCTGAATCTCTCTGGCTTCCTGTCTGGCCATGTGCACACACCCTCACCATGATACTGTGAGACATTAGAAGGGTTAATACACAGTTAAGAAGAGCCCCTGTGGGAATAAGGAACCAGATATTCCTTACTGATGGTGAACCCTGCCATCTGCTGATGAGACAAGACACTGCCCCAAGAAAATGAAAAGATTGATAGGGAATACAATGGGTCCATACTCACAGAACCATATGAGAAATTAGGCTCTGGAATCATACCAAAACACACCACAAAGCAGCCTGTCTCAAGTGCTTAGCAACTGATCAGGTAGGCACAACCTGCCTTAAATGGTCAGGTCAACAGTATTTCTCAACTGTCACATCTCTCAGGCAGTCAACATGGTGACATTTGTTAACTGGTCAGGAACCATGACTGAGACATAGAAAAACATAGAAAAAAACAAAACAAACTCATGAGTATGACAACTACGTAGAAGAATAGATCAACTGATAAGCACTTGGCTAAGCACTCATGGGGAGGCAACTGGGAATCAAAGAGAAAAATTCCATGACTTTAGGTTGACTACTTCAATTTCTAACATGGATTTCCTAAATCCAACAAGCCTTGGTTGATCACAAAATAAGACATTAATATAGTCCCATGCTGCACGCCTGGCTAAACAAGTCGCTAGGGCAGGATTATAGCAACAGCAATGACTACCACCACAACAGAAATATACATACATACATACATAAATAATATATAGACACATATTTGAGAGAAATATATATTATATATGAATACAGAAAATATAAATAAATACTGATATGAGAGAAAAAATATATACACTTATTTGAGAGTAAGGGAGATAGGGAGATATATAGAGAATTTCCATCTGCTGGCCTACTCCCTAAATGCTTGCAATGACCAGGACTGAGCCAGGCCAATGCCAGGTAGTGGAAACCCAGGCGAGGTCTCCTATGTGGGTGGCAGGAATCCAATGGCTTGAGCCATCACTGCTGCTCCCTAGGGTCTGCATCAGCAGGAAGCTGGATCTAGGTTTCAAACTAAGGTACTCTGTTGTCGGGCACGGATGTCTTAACTGGTATCTTAACTGCTAGGCTAAACGCCCACTCCAGCTTGCACAGTTTTTGATCTCATTTTAAATTTCCTTTTAGTCTTGCAAACTTTGGGCTGAACTCTGCTCCTCTGTTTCTTCATCTGGTTTATGGAAATGATAGAATTGACCACATAGGACTATAGCTGGGATTAAGTAAAGTAATAGAACACATATGCAATCTCTCCACACACAGTACCATACAGCAACATCACCATACAGTGATAGTGTTAGCAGTTATTATTACTCGGAACTGAAGGAAAAGATTCACTTTCAAGTAACTTTAGATAACACATTTCAAAGAGTTATAAATATGTATATTTTAAGTACTTTGCAACTAATTCATGAACAAATCCAGAGCAGAAAACTTTACAGCTTTTTCTAACTTTAGACAATAACTACCTTAAAATTAGAATATAAAATGAAATCATTTAAACCTTTCTGAGGAATGATGGGACTTAATGGTGCAGAAAGAGTAGGTGGGGTTTAATTTAATGCTTTAATTTAGCTCTCTGAGCTTTTGTAAAGAGTAACTACAGGGTATCATTTTCATCATTAAGTGTGTCACATTATCAGATACCATATGTGTGTACTGATTTCCATTTTCTTTTCAAAGTTTGGTTAAACCTTTATGCTCAGTAGTCAAATAAAACAATGATATGCTAAAAAGAAGGCTCTGTGGGGGTGAATGACAATTTAATTTTCCCCCAGTGTTGGCTGGTTGCACAAGAAAATAAAGAACTGGAGAAATCTGACAGGATATTTAGTTGACTAGATTTATTCCCTAGCAGTTGCAGGGTGTGTTAATTGTAACATTTCAGTTAATGAAAAATATTGTGATAGAATTGCTGATGTGGGTGATCAACGGACTTTTGAATAGATACGACCGCTAAACACTATTTTTAAAAAATGGGGAGGAAATAATCAAAACTCTTTTGTTGCATAGGAGATTCTTGTGAGTAAACTGGGCTTGCCAGAGAAGGCAATAATTCTTTCAAGTCGCCAAGCTACCACCATTTTGATAATTACTCATGCTGTGCTCCAACTGCTATTCAACTTAAATATGGCCCTCATTCTACAGAAAGCTTACAAGCTCAGTGGTAAAAACACAGAAAGCACCATAAACATCAAAATGCCAGAAAAAGTGAGCTGACTATATTAGACTAAGAATTACACTAATGATTCTTATAGATATGCTCTTATCAACGGATGCCATACACAGAAATAAGTACAGCTTAATGAATGGTCCCAAAGTAAACTGGGACCACAACCCAGTTCAAGAGATAGCTACTTCCTTCCTCCTTCTCCTGGTCACACTATACATCCTTCTCTCCAGAGATGACCCAGATTGGTGACTAGCAACACTACACACCAGTTTGTCTGTTTTTACATGAATGGAATTAAACAACAGTTATTTCTCACTTGTCTACCTTTTCTCCATCCCTATTACATTTGTAAAATACATCTGTGTTTTTAAGTGTAAAATACACTTGAATTTGTGTTTGAATACCACACAATTTACTTATTCTCTATAATCCCAAAGGAGAATAGGGTGGTTCCAGTTTTAAGCTGTCACGGAGTATGTTCATGTGGGGAAGAAAAGCTTTTTCCTCATCTAACTTAGGTCTGGTGGTTAGGGGTTTGCAAGTCAACTGACAATACAAAAAGTGACAGGAGAAAAGACAGTAATCAGTAACGCACTGAACAGCTAGACATAAAGGTTTATATACCAGCTTAACTAAGGTTGGGAGTGGGTGTGGGGGGGTAATTAAGGTCTTCAGTAGGAAAGTATGGAAAGTTCCATTGGGCTTTTTGTCGCTCCCCCTCTTCGTGGAGGAACGACACTGAACCCTGCGCTGTTCTTTCGTCTGCTCGGCCCTCCCCGGGTTTGCTGCTGGTTCCCCCCGGGTTGGCTACTATCCCTTCCACCTCCGTGGAAGGGCAGTTCCCCCTGGCCACATTCCCCACTTCCGCAGGGGAGCGGCACACCGCCGGCCGGCTTTCTCGGGGGCTGCACGGGTTCCCTTAGATGTTCCCCATAGATGTTCCTGGTGCATGCCGTCTCTCTCCTCCTTTATAGTCCTCCTCTGCCAATCCTAACTCGGCTGCCCACACGCCGAGTACGCTGCTCTCCAATCAGGAGCAAGTCCTACAGTTTATTGGTTGAACTGGAGGCAGCTGTGCGGAAGCTGTTTACTTCTCTCCCAGCGCCATATTGTGGGAGAGCAGATGCATAGAATAAGTCTTAATTCCAGTAACTCAGTCTAGTCCAGGTTGCTCCCCACAGAGGGAGAGCAGATGCATAGAATAAGTCTTAATTCCAGTAACAGTATAGTCCGAGTTGCTCCCCACACTTTTTAAGATGCCAATGACAATGGGGTAGTCTGTCTCCATGGTAGTTGAATTTATAGGAAATTCCCTTCAAGGAGAGTTAATGGCAGGTGTATTTTGGAAGGCTCTATTTTAATCAGATAAAGGAAGTTTGGATCAGATGTCCGTCTCTATCTTCTGTAGCTCATATGCTTTCACTTTAATCTGTGTCAATTCTGGGGATTGGAATGGATTATCAGTTTATGTATGACTTTGGATGCACATATGTACATCCTACTGCTTGTATATATAGGAAGGGAATTGTTAAGGAGAAAAGATACGGTATGTTTAGTTGTGGAGATGCCAGCTAAACAGTTTCTCAAAGTAGCTGTATCATTTATTCTTCCACCAGCACAGTGTGAGTGTTCTTGTTGCTTCACAGTGTATGTGTACTTCCCATTTCTCTGATGTTTCAGGGGTTGGTGCACACAAGGGTATTTCAAAGAGTTCATGGAAAGTATATATTATTATTTTTTCTTTTTCTTTTCTTTTTTTATTTTAACTTTTATTTAGTAAATATAAATTTCCAAAGTACAGTTTATGGATTACAATGGCTTTCCTTCTGCCCCATAACTTCCCTCCCACTCGCACCCCTCCCATCTCCCACTCCCTCTCCCATTCCTTTCACATCAAGATTCATTTTCAATTATCTTTGTATACAGAAGACCAATTTAGTATATATTAAGTAAAGATTTCATCAGTTTGCACCCACAAAGAACATAAAGTGTAAAATACTGTTTCAGTAATAGTTATAGCATTAATTCACATTGGACAACACATTAAGGACAGAGATCCTACATGAAGAGTAAGTGCACAGTGACTCCTGTTGTTGACTTAACAATTTGACATTCTTGTTTCTGGCGTCAGTAATCTCCCTAGGCTCTAGTCATGAGTTGCCAAGGCTATGGAAGCCTTTTGAGTTCACTGACTTAGATCTTATTCAGACAAGGTCATAGTCAAAGTGGAAGTTCTCTCCTCCCTTCAGAGAAAGGTACCTCCTTCTTTGATGGCCCTGCTCTTTCTACTGGGAAGGTATATATTATAACTGCATAGATTTAAAATAAATTTATACTAAAATAAACTTATCTTTTAATTCCATTTTTTCTCCTCAAACTTTTCGAAGTACCATTATATTTCCATATATTTACTGACCATTTGGCCATTTGGATATTTTGTGAAATACCTGTTCAAGTCTCTTGGCAATTTTTACTCTCTTTTGGGATGCCTCCTTTTTCTCACTGGTTTGTTGTTTCTTATATATTCTGGATGAGCCTTTCTTGTGTTGCAAATTTCTCCTTCCAATCTGTGTTGTGCCTTTTTTACCTTCTTAGTGGTTTCCTTTAATAGTTTCTACTTTAACAGTTCAATTTACTACTACTTTCCTTTATGGTTAGTGATATTTTAGACCTGTTTCAGAAATCTGTTCCTACCCCAAGGTCATGAAGCTATTCTTCAATGTTATCTTCTAGAACTGCATTGTCCAATATGGTAAGTCACTAGCCACAGGAGCTACTGAGCACTTGAAATGGGGGTAGTCTGAATTGAGATGGGCTGCGAGTTTAGAACATACCCTGGATTCAAAGGACTTAATATGAAAGAAAGAATGTTAAATATCTCATTAACAATATTTTATGTTGTTATGAAAGGACCAACAAAGCACTAAAACAGCAGACTATTTTAAATTGAAAGCATGTAGACAGATAACAGATGCAGAGAAAAACCTTATCTGAATTTCCTATATCTTGCCTAAAGCAGCATCTTCTGAGAGTTAGCCACTGTCCCCTCAGCATTTCCCTGTCTACTTACCCCTCCCCCCAACAAGTTCTCAGTTAGGGAGGCAACTAGAGGCAGCTTTAGCACCCATACATTCCAAGAAACTGGGTAAACAATCCTTACCAGAGGCTTCCATCCTTTCCCACTGAAGCCCTACTCCCACCTCCATCCCCTTATTAAGCCGATGTATCAACCCTTACTCTGGCTGACAGGAGAACCACTCCTTAAAAATGCCCTTACATGCATGTGTAATAAACCATCTCTTCTGTTAACCTATTCAATTAAGCTGCAGACCCTGATCACTCAAACCTAACTTGGTAGAGGAAGAGCTTTTTCTTTCAACAACTGCATGCTACTATTACATGATGCTATTACGGGTAAAATAAAATAAATTATTAAGACTAATTTTATCACCGGTGCCGCGGCTCAATAGGCTAATCATCCACTTAGCGGCGCCGGCACACCGGGTTCTAGTCCCAGTCGGGGCGCCGGATTCTGTCCCGGTTGCCCCTCTTCCAGGCCAGCTCTCTGCTGTGGCCAGGGAGTGCAGTGGAGGATGGCCCAAGTGCTTGGGCCCTGCACCCCATGGGAGACCAGGAGAGGCACCTGGCTCCTGGCTTTGGATCAGGAGGAGAGGGAGAGAGAGAGAGAGGTCTTCCATCCGATGGTTCACTCTCCAACTGGCCGCAACCGCCAGAGCTGTGCCAATCTGAAGCCAGGAGCCAGGAGCTTCTTCCCGGTCTCCAATGTGGGTGCAGGGGCCCAAGGACTTGGGCCATCTTCTACTGCTTTCCCAGGCCATGGCAGAGAGCTGGATGGGAAGTGGAGCAGCCAGGTCTCGAACCGGCACCCATATGGGATGCTGGCGCTTCAGGAGGGGGCGTTAACCCGCTGTGCCACAGTGCCGGCCCCATTAGTGCTTCACTTTTTAAAGGTGGCTGCTAGAAAATTAAAAATTACATAAGTGGCTTATTCTCCTCCACGTGGGATTTCTTTGCTTCCAGCAGGCCATGTGGGTCGGGTAAGAGTGTCCTAATCTAAGCAAGATGTGTCTCAAGATGTGTCTTCAGGGGCCGGGGCTGTGGCATAGCAAGTGAAGCTGCCACCTGCAAGGCTGGCATTCCATACAGGTCTAGTTTGTTGCTAGGTCTAGTGATTGCTCTACTCCCCATCCAGCTCCCTGCTAATGGCCTGGAAAAAGCAGTGGAGGATAGCTCAAGTTACCCATGTGCGAGACCTGGAAGAAATTCTTGGCTTCTGCCTGGCCCAGAGCTGACTGGCAGCCATCTAGGAAGTGAACCAGCCGATGGAAAATCTCTCTCTTCCTCTCTCTAATTCTGACTTTCAAAATAAGTAAATACATCATTTTTTTTAAAGATGTGAATTCAAGGATGGGAGTTTGGTGCAGCAATTAAGACGCCAGTTGGGACACCCCCACCCCACCCCATATTACTGTGCCTGGGTGGAGTCTGAGCTGAGCTTCTGATTCTAGCTTCCTGCTAATGTGCATCATGGGATGCAGCAGGTGATGACTCAAGAACCTGGTGACACATGAGAAACCCAGATTGAGTTCTGGGCTCCTGGCTGAGGCCTAGTCTACACTGGCTGGGATGATAATTTGGAGAGTGATCCAGCAAACTGAAGACCTCTTTCTGTTTTTCTTTTAAATAAGTGCAAATTAAATATAAAAATTAAAAAAATGTGTCTTTAATCCTCCAGAGAGCCAGTCTATTTCTGGTTTGCTCTTTTACTCAAGGTGTAGTATTTTGGAACTTACAATGGCCCCATTTCATCGGCCTTACTTCCAATTTTTGTCTGCCAAGCTCATAAGGCACTGAAGGCTGTGATCAGCAGCTCAGTCCCTCAGCTGTGCTCTCAAACTGGCTTTTCTCTTGAAAGAAGTGGCACAGTGTGCCTGGCTGCCTCTCCTTGATGGAGGCCCCATAAATCTTCATTGCTTTGGAAGCTCTCCAAAGACATCACTCAGATGATTTTCACATTTTGTTTAGCTTTTCTGGTTGTTCTCAGAGGGAAAGTTAGTGTGAAACAACCAAGTCTGCCATTGCTAGAGGCAGAAATCATATTAATTAACTTAATAATATATCATGCTTGTCACTTAATGTTGTAAGATTTTGATCACAGGGAATGGGAAAAACTGAGGTAGACAGGGTGAGGGAGGAGCAGACCAAGTTTCTTGTTGGTGCTGCAGAGGGCAGATGACTTTTAGAGTAGATGTAAGTAAAATGTTAACTCCAAGACTAGGGATTGTCATGTAGGTCTAGGAATAGATTTCATTTGAAAACCTGGTTCATTAAATAAATAATGGAAATTCTAGCTCAAAGAATACAAATAGCATATAAATCTGTATTGGTCAGCTTTTCAAAAGCACTATAACTAAAGTACCTGAAAGGTATCCTGAAAAGAGCTACTTAGAAAAGGAAGAAGGTTTGTTTTGGCTCCCAGTTTTGGAGGTTCACAGTCCAAGATGAAGTGGCCCTCTGGTTTAAGCATCTGGTTAGGTTATGAGAATGGTGGAGGGATGGTCACACAGTGAACAGAGAAAGCAAAGGAGAGCGAGTGAGTGAGCGAGCGAGCGACGCAAGCTAGGCCCAACCTGGCCTTAATAATCAACTCTCTAACAAGAACTAGCTTCTGAGGATATGTCCCCAGTGACCTGAAGACCTTCCATTGGGGTCCACCTCCTACACACCTACTATATCAACTCTCTATCTTCAAACCATTGGCTGTGAACATTAATTCATCAATGATGAACATAAGACTTTGGGGACCAAGCCTTCAATTCATGGGCCTATCGGGGACATTCAGATTATTATCTAACCATAACAAAATCACATGGTAATTGTGATAGGGAATATTGCATGGATTATATTACCAAGAAGGACTAAATTTAGATTGGTCCTATGTAGGCAAAAGGACTGTGATCCATCAGCAATGTTGGCCACAGACAAAGGACAGGGGATAGCTAGCTGTACATAGCTAGCTAGCTAATGTAATCTTAACATTCCATGAGTAATACATGAGTGACCAAATTATCATTCATAAAACATAAAAGAGGTTTTCAAAGAGTTCTTAGAGAATGAACATCATGAAAAAAATATATGGATCTCAAAACATTTTGTACCAAAATCAACTTACCTTTTAATTTTACTTTTCCATGAACTTTTTGAGATGCCCCATATGAAAGCATTGGATTGTTTGTTAACTAAAATAATTTAGATTCATCATATTACTAAACATTGGCTGTTGATCAGTACAAACCATGTATTTATGCCAACAAACTGTATACTGAGCTCAAAGTTCTAAGCAATTTCTAACCTTAAGTATGAAAATAGATGCAATGCTATACTTTCAGTGACAGAACATATTTGGTACCACAGTAAGTAACTATGTCAGTATGAAAAAGCATGGGCTATGCTTGTTAACAAATAACCCCTGAAATCTCAGTGCTCAAAAACAACAAAAGTTCATTTTTTGTTCATGGTAAGTGTCCGTAACAGATCAGCAGGGGACTCGATTAATCACTGACCTTCAGTGACCAGGATGGCAGAATCACGACCATCCTGAATGTTTCTTGTCCCAGCGTCAGAGGAAAAGAATATTTGGAGAGTTTCATACCAGTTTTACTTAATCCAGCCACATAATAATACTGGCCATTTTGTTCCTAATTCATTGGCTAGAACCAGGTGAGATAGTTGGCTTCAGCCAAACCTGAAAGTGAAATCCAACCATGAGCTTGGAATCTGGAGAGGTGGAGATATTTGGCCACCGGTGTTAGTAACTATGGCAGACAATAAATATTCAAGGATTCCAGAAAACATGCATACAACCTTTGCTATATACATGTCAGGGTTCCTACCAAGAATACTGACTACTTTTTTATAGTAGTTTTTTTATCCCAGGTTGAGAGTATTACTATTACAAGAGAAGAAATGTGAAAACATGCTAAATTTTGGTAAAAGTCTTCACTGTATACATAAAACTATAATTTGAACCATAATCATGTCTGAAATTCAAGCCCTGGATATGCTATATTAGTGTAATTATTGGCACTTGGGGGAGACACAAGTGTTTAGACAGCATACATCATATTTCACTCTGTAACAAGTTTCATCGTACCTAATTATGTAAAGCATGATGATGAGCTGAGAGCAGATAGTATGGAATGAGAGAAGATAATATGAAACAACTCAAATCTTACATTAGGTTTTGAATGTTAAGATGCTAAATAAAAACTATTTAAGTGCATCACAGAAATCTATTCTGAAAATTCACGGTAATGCAAGTCTATCATTGTCAAATTAACAAAGTGTGCATTGCTATTCAAATCTCAGTTTTATTTATATGGAAATATAAACCTTTTAAAATGTTTTGCTTTCAAGTAGATATTTGAAATACTACAAAATAAAACAAGCAATTCATCTTATCTCTTGCTATGACTGAGTACTCAAGATTTGAATTGCTTTTAAACACTATCTGTGTGAAAACACAGTAGCTTTTTTCATAAATACTCCATGATCTCAACTACAAGACTAAAAACTGATACTGAAAACCTGGAGACAAACCAGTAGCCTCTTGGAAGCACTTCACTGGAAATGGCTGTTGAAAGACAACCATTTCTTGTGATAAGTGATTTACATGCTTGAAGAAAATGTACAAGTGGTATCAGTATGCTTAAAACATGATTAAAATTTGTACTATAAACGCCAGTTTAGGAAAGAACTGATTTTAAACGCCAGCGACACTTCCTGTATCAGCTTTGCTGCAGTATTTAAGATGGTACCTTTTTCTAATTTGAAAGCTACATATTTTAATAGAGAATGGCCCAAAATGTTTTTAAGGTCACACTAGAAATATGTTGATGATTTAAAAATGCAAGCCAAGTGCTTTATTATATTATACTACCGGAGTGTTATTGTAGTTTAAAAATATCATTAAATCAGCACAAACCCGCACTTATCATTTCCTGCACATTTTTCACACCAAGCTGCCTTCTGACTATGAGTAATCTGTTAATCTGCTCTTCGCCTCACAATCCGTCAAAATGACAGATTCATTCCTTCCCTAATACATAATATCTTCATTTACTGTATGCCTTGCTGCAACTTTCTTTTTTGCTAGCATTGAAATTTAGAAATTCACAAGCAAATTTAAAGGATGTTGCTTGGGTGGGTGTTTTTGTTTCTCACTTCTTCCATTATTTTTTAAAAAATTATTTATTTTATTTATTTGAAAGAGTTATAGAGAGAGGTAAGAGAGAGATGCCTTCTATCTGCTGGTTCACCCCCTAAATAGATGAAACAGCTGCAGCTGAGCTGATCTGAAGCCAGGCGCTTCTTCCACTGTTTTCTGAGACGAATTAGTGGGGGGTGGGGGAGAGTGAGGGCTGGATCGGAAGTGCAGCATCTGGGACTTGAACTGTTGCCCAAATGGGAAGCCGGTGCTGCAGGTCAGGGCTTTAACACACTGCACCACAGCATCGGCCCCCACTTATTTTTCCATTATTCCTGCAGAGAAACAAAACCTTTTCTGGACCTCTCATGTGAATTAATAGTGTTTCCAAAATGAAGTAAATTTCAGGTTTCAGTAAGTGTTAAAGAGACCAGAAGAAGGCATATGGTGAAAGACAAAGTAAGTGCATCCTTCATCAGGTCAAAGCACTGAACAGAATGGAATTTTTTTTCAATGACTGTGGCTAATGAATGGATTCTCATTCCCCACCCTCAAGCCCCACTTAGGTGTAAAGAAAAAGATAATTTAAAACAAACTCTTCTTTTCTCACAAGAAGCTTCATTAACATAAATATCACTGCTAAACTAAAAGCAATGCTGTGATTTTTAAAAAATATTTATTTTTATTTATTTGAAAGGCAGAACCAGAGAGAGAGACAGGTAGAGAGAAAGAAGAGACAGGTAGAGAGAGAGAGAGAAACTCTTCTATCTGCTAAGAGCACTCCCAAAACAGCTGGGGCTGGGCCAGCCTGAAGTCAAGAGCCAGGAGCTTCACCCGGGTCTCCCACAAGGGTGGCAGGGGCCCAAGGAGTTGGGCCATCCTCTGCTGCTTTCCCAGGCACATCATCATGGAGCTGGATCAGAAGTGAAGCAGCTGGGACTCCAACTGGTGCCCATATGGGATGCTGGCATTGTAGGTGGCAGCCCAATCCATTATGCTACAATGCTGGCCCCAACACTGTGATTTTATTTAAGCTGAAACTTTCAGTTTTTAAAAACATTTATTTATTTTTATTTATTTGAAAGGCACAGAGACAGGCAAAGAGATTTTGCATCTGAGGGTTCATTCCTCAAATGCCTGTACAGCTGGGGCTGTGCCAGGATGAAGCCATGAGCCAGGCACTCAATCTGGATCTCCTATGTGGGTGGCAGGGACTGAAGCAATGGGCCCATTATCTGCTGCCTCCCAGGATGCACATTTGCAGGAAGCTGAAATTGGAAACAGAGCTGGGACTTGAACCTGGGCACTCCAGTCTAGTGAACCTGGGCACTCTAGTCTTAATTGCTGTGCCAAATGCCTGCCCCTGGATCTTTCCTTTTCATCATGATGTTAACTGACCTCAAACTAGGCCAGATCTTAGGTCTCTTTTTACGATTATTTTGATAAACAGTGGTTCTATTATTTAAAAGCTCTTCACTACTAACTCAACAGAAAATCTTTTCCTTTCTTACTTTGATACATTTTGTTTATTAGTCTATTCTACAAGTAAAGAGAATTCAGCCTTAAAAATATGAGTTATGTAAAATGCTAGCTTGCTTACTTTTCATCTTAAATCAGAGACAATGACATAGATCATCTACAAATCACCATCTGGCATGGCCACTACAGTCCAAGTGTCCACACAATTCAAAAGTTATTGTTGTTCACCTCTAAAGTCAAATGCAAAGGAGCTGTTTACAACAAAATATGAGAAACTGACTTCCAACTCTCCTGTTTCAGAACACAGGACACTTTTTTCCCCATGCAAACACCCACTACTCAACCGGAATTTTCGAGCACCAGATTGCATCTGATTTGTCTTAATGGATGGCCAGGGAGCTAAAGGCTTTTAAAAATCAATGGACAAGAAAGAGTCAATAGAACAATAATGTGAGTGTTAATTCAATCAAACCAGTTAAAAGTTGTTTGCCTTTTCACCTTGAAGTCATTTTGAACAGGCTGGACATTTGACTTGTAAGGAATTTATTATACTAAGTGGGTTTTTATGCAGTAATGAACAGCATAATATGAAGCTGTAAACGCTGGTAAACATAACATATTGCTAGAGTGAAAAATTACATGTTTTAACTTTAATCAATTTCAAAATGTAATGGTTTTCATTAACAGGAGAAACAAACACAAGCACAGGGAAAAAGTAACCACTGCCAAGAGAAGCAGAGTCTGTGCGTGGGCCCAGGGCTGCGAAGGCTGTGCTTTCTCCTGTGCAAGGCTGAGTTCACACCCCGATTGCAGGTATTTCCAAAGTACTCACTGAGTGCTGCTCAAGGTATGAGCTGCAACATTTCATGCAGCAGTGGGTTCCTTGGCTAAACAACAGGGGAAGCTCATCTGCACTGGATTGCAAAATTGAGCATGAGACAGTGAGCATGAGGATGCATCTAGCTGTGGCCACGTAACAGCAGCTGTTAAGTGTCTTCCACTTTTCAGGGCCATGCCCTTCCCCTGGGCCTCAGGCTGCACTTTCTCTGGCCCTGTACCCTTTCTCCCCCAGAAAGAACAGAGGCAAACATTCTAAATTAGTAATTAATTAACAGAATAAATATTTTCATTTCCCATTGTGTCTTGGTGGGGGTACTGTTACTACCTCCTTCCATTTCTTACTTGGTCAAAAGCTAATTGGACTTCTACCCTTGCCAGGCAGGTGCTGAACTATGAGGAGGTTGGGAGAGGAAGGAGAGGAAGAGGGAGAGGTATGGGGGAGGAGAGGGTGGTAGAGGGAGGGAGAGAGAGAGGGAGAGAGAGAGGGAGAGAGAGAGGGAGAGGGGGAGAGGGAGAGAGAGAGAGAGAGAGAGAGAGAAGAGAGGGGCCACCCTGCCCTTGGGAACTTGGAGAACAGCGGGAGGGGTCTTCAATCAAAGAGCTTTGATCCAGAACCACGGATTGTGAATATGAACAATCAGGGCCTTCAAGCCAGCAGGTGGAAACTGGTGGGAATGGGATCATGAGTTGAAAGGTATTGGTATTCCTTCCTGGTTAGAGCTAGCAAGAGAAACGAGAAAAACAAAAACCAATGCCTCCAGTGTTATAAACAAATCATTAAGATCTAATGCAAAAATCCAAATAGCAGGAAACAACAAAACACTACATTTAGGGAAACAAAACACCTGCTTAGTTAATTGGGAAATCTGCACGTCTTGATCTGAAGGAAGAATATTTGTGAAAAATTCCCCTTGTTTTAGAAAGATCCAAACGGAATTGGTTGAAGAGGGACATCAAATGCAAGTTCTGTATTTAATTTTACTGTTTTCATTCTTTTGTGTTGGGGATAAAAAAAAAAAAAACACAAAAAACCAGCTGAAGTTACAGAAGAGAATCTCATCAGGTTGAGTCCTGATTGGAGAAAAAAGACAAACGACGGTGCTGTGACGGGTCCAGAGTGGTGCGTGTGTGTTAGGAGGCCAGGCCAATCACAGGCCAGCCTGCCTCAGGCGGGCCGGCTGTGCCAGTGAGAATCACGGGCAGTGGTTATTCATCATTTG